TTCAATTTTGGATACGTTTCCACATAAAATTATATTTGTTTATTAAAACCCAATATTTAGATTAAAATTTAAAGAAAAAACCCTAATTCATGATGAAGAATTTACCATATCTGACCAATATAACCTGTCGTTTAAATTTTTTTCTCTAAAAATAATTTGAGATTTGGCATTGGAATTAAGTTTACCCAACTGTATACTTGCAATCAAAACTAGCAAGAAGCCAATTCACACTTAAGATCAATGCTGTAAGTTTTGTTCAAATAGAAGAAATTATCTCAAAGAAATGTTGTTTTGGGAGTTTGAGATATGGCAAATGGATGATAAATTAAAAAATCTATGAAGAAGGGCCAAATAAGATACAGTTCCCTCTCCTGTTTAAAAGCAATTTGGCATTATTCCAAGTCACATTGATTGTAAGTACATTCTCTTCCAGACTTCACAAGAAAATATTTCCAAAATTATCTACCCTAATATGCATTTCTGGAACAAAACTAGGTCTGAACAATTTTTAAAAATTGGTTTATAAATACAGTTATGTCATGAATGTCTTATTGCTCCTATGCTATCCACAACATTGACCTCTGTACTTTTTTTTAACCTCCTCTTTTTCTCTGTCTCTTTTATATCAAGACAACTTTTGAAAAGATTTTGCCAAAATTTACAGTAGGAATACATAAAAAATAAAGAGGAATGCCATTGTTTCAGTATAAACACTAGAATGGAAAAAGAATGGAATCCTATGTTGAGTGTTTTAAATGCATGGAGAGATTTTATGATAAAGATGCCAAATTTCATGTTGTTTTTCTGGAGTCAGGTGGTGACAAAGAAACTAAGATCATCAGAGGCAGGACTTTGCTTTGGTCTTTGATTTAGATTCTTTGAGAAAGAAAATTATCTTGGCATACTTTTATAAATTGAAAGAAATACACACTATGGAAAAGCAATCTCAGAGAAAATGAAAAGGCTTTTCATGTCTTACGGACTCTTATGACTCTTGCAAAAATTTATTGAATAGGATGAGCGCAGAAAAAAACACATTTTCCCCAACCCTTTCCTTTAAACAAATTCCCAGTATTACCCTTTTCCAACACTTAATAGCATTTTGGGTCCTCTAGATTTCCAAGAATGTTCTCATTTTCAGGTTTTAGAGTCTAAATCAAAACATTAATCTCATATCCAATTAAAATCTTCTTTCCTCTGCTTGAGCTGATATAGAGAAGTAGGAGTAACAAAGAAAAAAGTAGGTGTCAATTCTTTCAATCACCCATCATGTCCTTTGTTCTTGTTCTTATAAGATACTCAAGTTTAAGGGGCAGAAGAAATTAAAGGGAAAAAAGGCAACATCTTGTTTAGTGCTCCTGTAATTTGGCCATCAGTACCTCTGTCAGTCCAAATACTGCTAGTTTCTTGTTTTATAGATCCCTGAGAAGACATCTTCACCTTATTCTTTTCGTAAGAAAAAAGCACTTATTTACTACATACCTTAACCCAATACAGGACATCTGTAGCTATTTTCTAACTGGGGCTCTTAAAACTAAAACCATTCATGGTTGATTTAAGTGGATCTGCCATGGGTAACATGACCCACAAACACTTCCTAGGAAGAACAAGCTGCCAGACTATCTTTGTATTTCTGGCAATGTACAGTAGGTTGACAGTAAATATGTATTGAATCAGATTTTTTTCTGTATTCAAATACCAGAATTCTGGATTGTTATTTATGGTCTCATTGTCATCTAGCAATAATAAATTTATTTCTTGCCTCTAGAAAACTATATTATAAAGCTAGAAGTAAAAGGTAGAGAAATTTAATAATGAAATAGAACTTACATTTGGTGCTAAGAAAGTAACTGTGGCAGCTGATGTTACAGAAAAAAATGTTACCTTGAAGAGCAAAAGTCAGTGATGGGTTTGGTGTTTGTGCATGTAGCTGAACTGGTACCAGGTCATGAAGGGTAGAGGGAAATTAGGCATATGGTTAAACAGGAATGCAGTGAAAGAAAGGTAAATAGCATCAACAGATGTAAAGAGCATTTATCTCATGCATGGATATTTCCTATGTAAATTCAAATATCCTATGCATGGAATGCATGAATGTTCAGGCAATGATTAAGGGATATGTCTGCAACAAACAGTCAGGTTTATGGAGGAGATTTGGGGGACTTTAGGATGGGCGGATGGATCAGAGTCAGGCCTTGGGGTCTTGAATATCGGGTCAGAAAGAGGCAAAAAGGTGCTGTTGAAGTTTTAAATCCATATATTTTTCATGAAAGGAGAAGGGGTGAGGAAAAGAGAGTATTATCCAGTGAATACAATCTGTGGCAACTACATATGAGAGGACCCCGTGCCAGGTGTCACCAGAACCTTACCATTATTGCCCATTTCTTCATAATTACAAGGCAGTCTTTAAGATTATGGGGCACAGACTGGAGAGTTTGAAGGTTTACTTTCCAGTTGCCAATGATTTGGATTTGTACATATTCAGCACCCGGAGGGACCCTCCTAAATTCACTGTTACCTGTCTGCTCTCTGTTGTGAGTTATCAGGCAACATATTCTATGCTGGGAATAATGGATATTATGTGGGGTAGAGTCTCTATAACTTAGGTGCATCAAGTCAAATGGCCCTTTGGTTACTTTTGTATCTAACAAACAGAAGCTATTAAGAGAATTTCCTTGTTCTTGGTCACAAAACATTCTTTTCTCTGACACTCTTTTCTAAGTGTCTTGTTTTTATCACTTGTATATTTAAGGTTTTTTTTTAAAGTTTTATTTGTTTGTTTTGATACTGGGGATTGAATTCACCACCTCTTACTTGCCAGGCAGGCACTTATGCCATTGAGTTAAATCCCTAGCACCTTATCACTTGTATCTTTAAAAATTAAAACTCAGTGCTTCATCAAAACTTATTCCATGGTCTTCTCTCCTTTTTTATTGGCTATAAATTTGGCATGAGTCAACAACAGTGTGAACTTAAATACATGGTCTTTCAGTCTTAAATTTGTTTTTCATTTGTCTGGATTGGGCAATCTTGACCAGTCCTTGTCTCTTCAAAATGAAATTGGAGGCCAAATCTCTTTGTCAACTAGTAGATGACAGAAATATATAGGGTAATTATTTCTTTCTATTTTATTTTTTCTAATTTCTGGATCACTTCAACTGGTTCTAATACCCCCAACCTCATGAATATGATATATAGATTTTCTTTCACTTTATTATAATGAAGATAGTGAAAATATTAAAAATATTTAACAGTTTCTGTCAACCGTATATGATGGAGGAGACTGTTTCTTTCTATTCTCTATTTATATACATATGAAAATAATGGTTCCTATTTTCTCTAGCTTTCTGAGACTTTAGAAACAGCAAGACCCCTTCTCAGTAGTAATATCAATGACAAGTGTTTATAATCCAAATTTCCTGGCTTTTGTCTGTACTATTCCAGCAGGATCCCAAATCCATATAATCCACCTTCCCACCAATCTCTTTCCCAAGTGTCCTCGGTTAGATCAAAGGATGTCAGTATGTACCCTTTTCCCCCTTCCTTTGGCTCAGTGACATTTATGACTCTGATTTGGAATCATGGGTACGTCCATCAGCTTCCACTCCACTTCAGCTGCCTTGGACTGCTGGAGTCAGGCAATCCTACAATGCAGAGTGCTGCTGTAAGTGTGACAGTACTGCTCATGCTCCTTTCTGCACAATAGTAGATTGGCAAACGTATTCCTTGATTTTTCCTTGCCTACATAACCTCAGTTTTAAGTATGAATTCAATGTGTAAACAAGTCATAGTGATTAGACAGAGGTTAAATCAGAATATCCATCTTTTTTCAAGGGCCAAGCTGAGAATGAAAGATCTAGAAATTGATCCTTACTAAGATATTTGATTGCTAGTAAGTGTGGGAAAAGTAGGAAATAAAGAGAAATGCCACGGGGAGAAAGTGAGACTATACCTTGCAAAAGTGTGAAAGAACCTATTGGATTAAGGAGATGTAAAGCAATTTGTAAAAAACAGTAATGTCTTATAGGTGATTTTAAAATTGATTACTGTGTAGTTCTCACATTGTTATTCATTTGGGGAGTCACAGCACAAAATAAAAGAAGTATAAAAAATTTAAACCTATGTCATCCACGTATGATTTTTTTTTTTTTATATTTTTGTGCAAGATTTCACTATATAGTTCAGACTTGCCTTGAACTCATTTTGTTCAAGGCCCAGGCTGCCCTTGAACTTCCTGCCTCAGTCTCCCGAGTATGTGGATTACAGGCGTGAGCCACCACATGCAGCTAAATCATATGTGATTGGTAACCAAATCATAAACATTTGGAGAGTCTTAAATATGAGTTTAAATTGGCAAGTGGTCTCTGATTTGGGGGAAGAGTATAATACCCTGGCAGATTAAATTAAGGAAAAGCACAAATTTGACTTGAATTTCAAAGGGATGAAGGCTAAGTATTTGGCAAAAAACAAGGAATCTGTGTCACTGGATAAAGTTCCAGAATTATGAGAGAACGCTAATTCAATGGCAAGACCTTTTCTCAACTAAAGTTGGGAAAATGAATTAAGGGCTTGGCATGGAGAGTATTCAGTACATGGCAATAAGTTCCTGTGGAGAAGGCATTCATATTATAGAATGAAATAATCAATAATCACGAGAAGGGTAAAATGATGGGGGAACACCATGATTTTGACAGTTAAGTATAAAATATATTGGAAGCAAGGTTCTAGAGCTGACCAACACAAAGGAGAATGGAGACATCATGAGAAAGCCAGGATCAACCTAAGAATTATGGAAGAAAGAGAAAAGAAGTGGAACAAGTAGAGACAAGGTTAAATATTTAGAGATACATGGCAGAGGGGACGCAAGGGATTGAGGCTTGATTCATGGTGTATCATTGACACACAGATAATTGTCAAGAACAGTGCTGGTTATTAGTATTAATTTATATCAATGCGAACTCCCATTTGCTGAGACTTGTACCTTGTGTCTCAGGTAGACTCTAGGCCCAGCACTTCACCTTTATAGCCTTTTTCAAGGTAGGGCTGCTCATCATCAGTGAAGTGGAATGAACAGAGATTAATGCATACATGCCAGCTTCCCAGGCCCAGTACCACCATCCTCTCTTAGATACGATGCCTGTGTAGGTAATTATTACACTCAGAAAGTAGGTCAAGAAGATGACGAAGAAGACAGCAAGAGACTTCAGGGCAGTGGAGTGAGCTTTCTGGCTGGAGCCGGAGTGGCCAGTGTTATACTTTTGCATTTTCTTCCGGTGCTGGATCAGAGACGCCATAAGGAATACGGTGCAGATCAGGAACAAGAGAAAGGGAATTGTCAACAAAAACATTTTTTGAGCCCCGGAAACATAGGGCTCCAACATATTAAGTCTCTCAATCAAAGAGTTGTTTGTGGGTACATGCGTCAGTGGGGCTAATTGTAGGAATATGTGATTCCTAATAGCTCTAGGGATAACTGCTGCACAAGATATCACCAGAGCACCCAGTAATAACCAGGGCACCAACCTCGAAATTCTCCACCTCAGCCAGAGGAAGATGGGATGGGCGATGCAAGAAATCTTGACACAGTAGAGGACAGCAAGCAAGCTGGTCAACCAGAATGTAAGAATATTAGTGAATTCCCAGATGGTTCCTGTGTGCCATAGTACACAATCAGGATGAAAATAGAAGCAAAAATTGTTCAGCATCGATGTCCACTGTAGAAAGAAACGACAGATGCTCAGGCTGGTGAGAGTCATTTCCACAGGTGACAATCTTTTGACCTGTACCCACTTTCTGCCCAGCACAGCAACAGTGAAGCTGCTTTGTGCCATTACTGTCAAGGACTCAAAAACATAGATAATTATAAAAAAGATCCCAAGTCGACGGAGTACCATGCTTCTATTCCAAAGTTTGTTTCTAGACAAAGAATTGGAAGCTCTGTATCAATCTGTACGTAGGAAACAAGTTTCTGTTTCAACCACTGTCTGGTATAAGACAGCAAATGTGCAAATCTGGGTGCAAATGTTCTCCAGCTTGTTTTGACTTTATCATTTTCCTGTCTATAGAATTTGTTTATGCTTTGCTTGGTGGTTTGTTACTACATCTGGATGAAGAACAATATTTTTTTAATGTTGATTTGTTTTGCTAAAGTGATTTGATTATTTCCATAGAAGCATACTTATATCATAACCTTGGTGCTCACTTCATTTTTTTATCTATCTAGGGTACCCTTAGATTATTTCCCCATCTTCTTTAAATAGTATCTTCTTATTTAAATGAAAATTGAGCCTATAAGAAAGATAAATCCTTCACTTCCTATTCATGTCTTGGGAATGTTTCCATTCTGCTGAATGCTGTGTCAGTGCTAACCTCAGAAAACCCTGCAGAACCAGCATTCTCAGCAACTTGTGGTAGATGCCACGATCAGCGTGAGAAGGTAAATAAAATTGATAACAAAGCTTTTCCTCTGATATTTCACACAAAAATATGGCCGGAATCCAAGATATGCATCCCATTCCAATGCAGGCCACTCTCATAATCACCTACTGAATTCTCCAAACCAGAGAAATAAAACTCCAGAGAAATCACTGAACACTCTTCCGTGAAGACAGACTGTCCATAGACACTATTTTTCTGCCAATTTCAATGCCTTGAGCATATGCTCTGTATATTTTTGGAAATTGTTTTTGTTCTATTAATGTCACTGGCTTTTTTCCCTCTTCTTTCATGTCTAGGTTCTTTTTATCATTTCTTACAGATGAATTGAAAGAGAGCCCTTTACTTCTAAAGCACTTTACTTCTGAATAGCAGGCATTCTTTCATAGCTGAACAGACAGGATAGAGAAAAAATACTGTTTGCCTTGATTCAGGACAACTATTCCAAGTGGTCAATGTGTAATTAGTGATTTCAGAAATGAGAGGTGAATTTTAGTAATTATTGCATCATGAGAGGGACAAAGTGAAAGTTACTAACCTAATGTTTGATAAACTCTAAGCCTGTGTGGACATTTAATCACTCATAAAATAAAGACAGGAGCAATATAACATGAAGGTGAGAATTTGTTGATACTGAAACAACAAAACGTAAAACTCTGAACAAATTTCCAAAGGAAAATAACAGATTTAAAAATTGCACTAGGTAACAGAATTTAAATTAGAAAGCATCTGCATTGCATTCTTAATAAAACTTGAGAAACAGGAAATAAAAACAATGAGACAATGAAATAGTAGTCTGTGATCAAAAGATTTATTGGCTGAGATGTATCCAGACATAAGAAGGAATGAAATATAAAAGACTGGTTAGTAAAATATGCAATAATAGTTTAAATGTCTGTCTTCAATTCCAGATACACTACAACATTATCTCATGTGGAGTAAACTTAAAGTGTGATGCTCTGATCTTTCAAGGGATTCCTGAGTCACACTACTATGCTATTAGCCTCTGGATCATCTGACCACAATGGTTCAACCAGGAATTAGTGCCTGTCTCAGGCAACTCCTCATATACCAGCCTGGAGCTGGAGAGATGAACTGGCACCACTCAAATATACAGGGCCATTCCTATGAGGCAGTGGCCATTGAGTAACCCAGATATTCATTTAGGAAGTTTGAATGTGGGACATGTACACTGGTCTACAGACTAAGAGTGGATGTTTTCTTAGGCCAGGAGTTCAAACAGCATCTCTTCTACTCTGTGTGTGTGTGTGTGTGTTTGCACATGCGCGCAAATCTTCCAGAGCCATGTCTATAGTATCTTCTCTGAAGCACCTCCAACCCTGGATTGCCCTCTTCTCCTCTCATTCGGCTTCCATTTTAGCCTTTTCCCTCATCACCCTGGAAATGGCTAGCCATTAACCAGTGATGGCTGATCAGGCACTGGGCAGACGAAAGCCCTGCTACTTTCTGCAGAGCGCACTCGAACTGTGGAAAATCCAGGTATTCTAACTAGAAAAGAGGATGAAGGGCCACCTGTCGAGGCTGTGTGTTACATTCACTTTGTCATTGCTCAGTTTTCTTTTCTTCTTCTCAGACAGTAAACAAGAGTGAAGGCTCCAAGCTTATTTTCTAACCCAAAAGTTGTCTGGGAACAGAAGTGTCAGTCTGTCCTCCTGGATGTTACAATTTTCACTGTTAGAGGCATTACATATTCCCTGAGCGTGTTCTTAGTCTCCCTACTACTTTATTTACTTTCCCCTGGGGAAGACACACTGATTTTTCTCATTTGAAAAAAATACATTAGTTTTGTAAGACGAATGTACTTAACTCTGGATTTTACTATTACTAAGCAAACTTTATACATCTATACTTTGAGGTACTAGTCTTTTTGCTGTTATATATTATATGTGTGTCTATATGTATATGTATATATACACATATGTCATATGTATATGTCTGGATATATATACATAAATGTGTATATTTCATTAAAACATTGAAAACAGGAATATTAAGAACTTGCAATTAATGAAAAGGTAAATAACATTAACAAATAATTTCACAAGGCAATATTTAACTTTACTAGTAATTTAAAAGTACCAACACTACTGAGGAAACAGTCTTTCACATTGCAAAAAAATGGATAATATCAAATCTAAGACAAGAAATGGCAATAATAGAAGGCTTTATGTTCTGCTGGAAGGAATGTAAATTAACATGGTTTCATTGAAAAATAATTTGGTCCAGAATTACAAACTTTTGGAGCATTAGTTTCACTGTTATTACTTACAGGAAAAATTGTATATTACAGAGAAAATCTTATATATCTATGACAAAAGGAAAATTTGACAAGTCTAGTTATTTCAGAACTATACATAATACAAAGAACTGGAAACTGTAAATGAACATAAGTTTGAGAATAAACGTGATGTAGTCATATGATGGCATAAAGCAGACATTAGTTTGCCTTCTTAAAATTACATTAACAGAATTTACCTGTCACAGGCAAGATTTTAAGTGCAACTCTCTTCATTTAATGTCTCCCTTCCCTACTCAATTTGGAGGTAAGAAGCAATTCAAGTTACTGGGAACAAAGGAGAAGAGAGATGAGGCCTTTTGTGAAAAATATCCCTCTCTGATAATAACAGCTTCACAAGGAGAAATCCTTTGTTCTTTTCATCTTGTTTTGCCTGTTATTCTATACTATGCCATGATGATGGGAACTGCTGCAGCCATTTTATCACTTTGAGGGGAAGGGAAATGCAAGTAAAAAACACAGAGCCTCATATTGTTGAATATTTAATAACAATATGGGACTGAATACCTTATGAGATATGACTGTGGGCAGAATGCACACTACAATATAATTCACCAGAAACCTTGACCAAGGATGTGTTTCCATTGGGTTGTATTATAGTGTATAATGAATATATACTAGTGTATAGTACATATGGTGATTATATTATAGTGTATAGAGATTATATTATAGTGTATTGTGAATATATTATATATATTATGTCTCTGAGTGTGAGGAGAGAGAGGAAGAAAGAGAGAGTATCACATAATATTTTTTCTTGCACTGAGAAGTATGTCTCACTAAAATTCCAGAATTCACCATCTGTCTAACTGGTTTGGAGGAAAGGCAGGTTAGTGTGATGTAGTTTATTTCAGCAAGCAAAGTAACCATAACAAGGTACAGGACATTCCTTTACACAGCTTACAGTGAGAAAAGATATCTTGGAAAAGGTTTTGCTTTGGTGGGAAGGGGGGTTTTTTGTTCTAAGGCCAGAGTAAGTTTTGCCAGGTGGAGATGGAACTGTGGCTATAGCTTAATGAATCTTCAGGAAAGATGCTGACTACTGCTGATGTGAGAACATCTAGATTTCTCAGTAGTCTTTAAAGGAAAGAACTGATTCTCATGAGAGAAAAAACTGGAGGATGCTTGTGGAGCAGACTTAAAAGTTGAGAAAATCAGATGTGAGACTTGTGGGAAACTCAAATTATCTTGTATCAAGAAGTGTATGAATGTCCTTTTAAAAAAACTGAGCAGTATTTAATTGTGTATATGTACTACAGCCCCTTTCATCCGTCATTAGGCACTGTGCTTATTTGGCAGCTGTGAATACTGTTGCAATGAAAATGGGGATGCAGACATCCCTTTAGCACTTTGGTGTCAATTTCTTTGCATCTATTCCCAGCAACAGGATGCGAAATTACATGATAGCTCTTATATTTAATTTTTGAAAAACTGCCATAGTGTTTTCCAAAATAACTGTACTAATTTACCAAACAACAAACAGCATGCAAACCTTCTCTTTTGCCCAGAAGTCTATGAGACCGTATCAGAGCATTGGTATTAAAATAGCGCCTATATATATGACTTTTTAAAGCTGAAGGAGCCCCTCATCCATGAGCCATGTTTCTCTTCTAGAAATGAATGACACACTAATAGAAGAGGGATACGTTCTGAGTTGTGGCAGAGCACTCCACTGAAACACATCAAAATAGAATGGCAGAAATGGAACAAAATTGAAGTAGAAATTCTAGTAACCTGTGTTCTTGCAGCAGTTAATATCTCCTTGTGTGGTCTCTGTAGATGAATATCTCATGGTGTTTCTACTGGTATTTGATAACATATAGGCTAAACTGTGATAAGAGGTAGATGAGTTCTCCTCTACACAAGCATCAACATGTTTTAGAGTTTAAAAAAATATTCACAAGTTGTTATTGTGCAAAAATGTTGAAGAATAGTCCTCATTCAAGCAAATCATAGAGAGAATAATTTCCAGCAAAACTGTATGAATATAGATTGAAGCTTTATTTCTCCCATTCACTGAAGTCCAATTCTTAATATGGGGGACAGGATCAAAAAGAAAATATAAACACAAACAAGAGGAAAAGACTCAGAAGGAGAAGCATTAGTTGAGACTCCAGGGCAGTAAAAGTGACATAACATCTC